TATATATATATTACTCCACTGTTTCAATCCTGTCTGTGAAGGCCAACCAGAGTTGAGAGAAGGATACAATGACCACCGGTACCGTAACAAAGATTCTTCGCCGGTACTAGATTTTTAAAAAATAACCCCACACAGCTCTTTGCCTCAGAACTATTTTGCCCAAAGTGCCTCTTTACTTTACTTAAGTTCACTTTGGACAAAGTAGTTCCGAGGCATTGAGGTATTGAACTGGCGTCTTTTGCAGGTGCTGGCAACGTGTCTAAGCCCTACACCAGAGATGCTGGTACATTTTACTGTAGATCAAAGTTTTTTCTATGAAAGTCAGAATAAAGTTTAATTGATATAATGCTGTATCTGTATGATCATCTCAAGACAGTAACAGGAACAGTAATAACGACTAAACTGATACATGTACATCATTTCAAGAATCTTTACTAGCAGCAATGATGTAATGGTTGGGCTTTTCAGGATCCACTACACACAATCGACTGGAGTTCTACTCCTTTGTGGAGAAGATATTAATTCAACTTAGTGACTCACTCCATCTTTCCATAGTGACTCACTCCATCTTTCCACAAAAACACATCCCACACAGCCAAGATTTGGCCCTGACAGGCATGGTTGAAGCAGGCATGGTTGAAGCAGGCATCTCAGAAGCAATGCGCATTACATGTACTTTGATGAGGACTTAAAAACTTTTCCCATCAGTCAGTCTAGAGTCTCTGACGGAAAAAGACCCCAGTCTATCAACAGTTTGAGTTCGCAAAAAAGAGAAGCACATTGACACAATAACTGTCTATTAGCAATTAGTGTGTGGCAGAAGAAAGACAGATAGACAGATAACAGAGGGAAAGAAAAGAAGTAGGACCTACCGCTGATGCCCTCCAACCACTCGCTCTATCAACAGCTCTGTGACAACAACAAAAAAAGCTCGAAATAACAGAAGTTACTGTATAATGGTAATTTCTTGAAAAAAACAGGTCTTCAAGTGTTGGGGAATCCCTCATACAAAAATTTAAAAAACTATCACCATTGTTAAGACTAAAATAAACTGCCTCCAATATATCCCATACAAGCAAATTTACAGAGGAAACCTGATATAACAGTATTAACAGGGATGGTGGGAGTAGAGAAAAAGTCCTGTTATATCGGACCCCTGTTAAATCAGAAATGCAAGGAAAGTAAGCATTTGTGGACTAATCCAGCAGTAGGCCCTACTTATTAATGGGTAGTTTCCCTTGCCACAAGTACCAGTGAACAAGGGTTTTAGCACCAACTTTCTCCTTGCCTCCTGAAAACCACATCAGAGGAGCTTGGTCCGCAGCATCTGCATCGGGGAGTCTCATCTTCTTTCGATCCAGAGCAAACTTTCCGTTGGAGTATGCAGCCACTATCTTCTCTCTATCCTTGATAATGGTGAGAATCTACACTTGTGGAATGTTGAACTGACCACAAATCTCTGCCAGTGGAGCTTTTTATATGTCAGCAGCCTGGATTATTCCATATTTTTTGTCAATTGAAAGGCATTTTCTCTTGCGCTTGACATTGTTGGTGGCCATAATGAAAGAAGTAGGCTTAGATCTAGGCCGACCGGTCGTCCACAGAGTACGTTAAGCTTAGATCTACACATGTACTCTTGTTAGTGAACAGTCAGTGTGGTGTGAAGTGCGGTGCATGCGTGTGTGCTTTGAACTGCCAAACAAGCTCAGTGCAAGACCAGATTTGGCCTTGCGGCAGGCCTGTGCATGAATGACAACTGACACATTAAGCGTGCGTGTTGGTAGGTTTTGGGCTAGATCGAGATCTGCAGCACACCACAGCCATCTCTCACTTCACACGCTGCGTGTGCTTGCAGTGGCGTGGCTTACGTGGGCATGCTCCACCACTGCGTTACTCCCTCTTTCTCTCTCTCTCTCTTACTTTTCACACCTTGTGAATGAGCCTTTGTCCCTGCTATAACCGGTTGGGCTCCGACGAGGCCCTGTTATCTCGATAATTTTTAATAGAGACAAAGAGTGGGAAAAAACGGGGATTTTGAAAATCCCTGTTATTACCGGGCCTGTTATATATGGTTTCCACTGTACTTATCCTGAGTCATGCCTCATGAGTCATACCAACCCATCAGGCAAACCTGTGGGTGACAATAGTTGCTTGCCATATCATCCCAATATTTTTTAATGGGTGTTTCTCATAATAAACTACTGGTGTCGAATATAAAAATGTGGTTAAAACAGTCTACACCATACCAAATTTACATGAACAAACTTTTAATACATATATATATATATATCACACATGTTGGAAGACATAAAATGGGCAACAAATCAGCCTGAGTCCAGGACCACTATGACCGTTTTAGCTTCATAAACTAGCTTCTATCAACAATGTCAAGTAGTTCAATTCAATACAAAATTAACTTTATAACACATACATGGCTAATAAAGAACAAACTGCTAGTCGCAATTAGTAGAATAACAAAGCTAGAGTAGTCTCCACATTAACTGCACTTGAGCCTGAGTTATTTTCCACCTAACAACCATTTTTGACAGTTTAGGGCTATATTGATTGAATAGCAGCCGTTATTTTCACGACATGTCATGGAAATACAGGCTATGTGTTTTCGGAAATAAAGGCCATGCGTTTTTTCATGACACGTTGAAGACATACCAGCTTTTACCCAAAGAAGTGCTCTTACTGGAGAGGTCTAGATCTTTTAGCTAAAATACTAACAAATAAAATAAAATAAAATAAAATAAAGCCAATCAACTTATAATTGTACAAGTACAAACCACAACAAAATTGGCTTCCATATTGAATCGTTAACCATAAAATGATTGTGTAAGCTATTAAAATTAAAAAATGTAATGAAAGTAGGAATGAAATGCTCTTCTAGTTTTTCCGAATAGTTATCAATTTATAATTATTTTAAAATGGCAATGTCAAGGGTGGGAGGGGGGATACGCAATTTTTTTTGCGCTCAACTTGTAATAAAATCATCTAATAAAAGATAACTGTCCAGCATCAAATAGGCAGCACCAACAGTTCATATTGCCTCTTTTTTCTGAGTCACTCAGAAACCACTTACGAGCAATTAATTCTAACTTAAGTTGGTTGGGCTTGGTGTGGAAACATGAAATCGCCCATGGTGCATTTCGCAAATGGTGCCACACTATCCTGTTGCAAAAGTTGTTTGAAGACACTGCTGTCCTTTTCTCACCTTGTGTATTTTTACACCCGCACTAACACATTTACTGCTTCTTTTCCCACAACTAGAACTACTAGATGTGTATATCACTTGGACTAGACTTGGAAGATGAAGAAAGCTATTCCGATTCCTACTTTCACTTTTACCCAACTCCAACTGTTCATCGCCGGAAATACAGCTTTATCCATAGATCTAGCAGCTTCCAATAAATTTAGTGGGACATTGTGGAAGTTTTAGCCTTCAAATTCCCTATCAGACCCTTTAAATACTTCAAACATGTTTCATTTATGTCTTTGACTTTGAGAGACTATCTCTACTCTAAAAACGACCGATGCTATGTTTCCGTTCACAGAGCTTCTACCGCAATGCGGGCAAGCGTGTCAGACTTAGTTCGTTACAGTTAAAAAAGTATTGCACTTCACCAGATGCTTAACTGAAAAAACAAGTGGGTCGACTGTATGCTCGTCGCTTCCCGTGGCTGGTAACCAAAAAACAATGGAGATATCAATTGCTAAAGTGCATTCCATTACTACGCGAGATTCCGCCACCTGGCTAGCAGCACATCCCGTAAATAAACAGGAATAGGCTCAAGTGAATTAACGCACCCCATACAAAGGCAAACTCCGCTCAAACGTATGCTTTTTACATCAGACGGGTTGGTCACTATAAACATGTAATGTACACAGTGAAACATGCCCCAGGGAATAAAACTGAATTTATCTTTCACAGGCTATTATAACATTCAAAAGTTTTACTTCATAAATTTGAGGTAAGTTGAGCCCCCTCTGAGACTAAGCTGAAGTTGTTTTCTTTTTCTAAGCAGTATTGCACACAGTTGAGGTAGAGCAGTGGTTCTGACAGAAGCAACTTGTACAGTTGGAGATCTTCATTTCGTAAGAATGCTGTCTTATCATCATTAGACGCCACAGCAAAGCACACTGAGGAGCAGGAGTCACTAGGCCCAAGTTCTGAATAGGAAGAAGGCAGCTCCTCGGAAAGGGAAAAACGTTTTAAATGAAAAGGGATCTCAGCAGACATGTCGGTTCTGTACTCAGGGCTGAGGGTTGCGGCAGACGTGTTCAGAGTGGTCACTATCTGCTCCCTGAGACCTCGGACGGCATGGATCAGATGTCGGCTAGGGTGAGCCAGAACCATTGGGCATGCCGAGATTTGTTCCTTAGAAAACCCCTGGGACAGGAGAAACTCCAGATTTTTGTTAACATCCGTGATGTTCGCCGATTCAACATTGACGTTGCACTTAAACATAGTGGACAGCACAGACTTGTCCAGCTGTAGGTGGTAGGCGATCAACCGGAAGATCTGGGTCCTCTTTTTTTTTAGACTTACAATAGCTTGTTTGGGCCGAGGCTGCTTGGGGGTCTCGGACATGGGCAGCCTTTTGTCATCAGCTTTCTCCTGTTTTATTTCATTTCCAGATTCCAGTTCCGCATCACCTGATAACATTCAGACAAAAGTAGTTTTTTTTTAAATTGCCCTGCCATCTGAGAGTGGAGAAAAATCCATTACTTGCAAAAAACATTAATGCAATATGCCAGTGAGAGTTAAGTCCATAAATGATAGACAATATATTATATTGCAAAATACCAGTTTACAAGGTCATTCTATTCACAATCTATAAATTCATCATTGCAAAAACAATAGTAAAGTTTATTATCCCCACTGTCAATATAACACAAGAAGAAATGGTTTAAAACTAAGGTATTTCTCAACTACTATCTGCATTTTTAGCTGTGAAAAGTACAAAATAAGATCAAAAAGAATCCTATGGGTCTATGATACTGATTTCTACAGGCATCAAGGTTGGGTAACTTGTTGACAAAGCTTTATAACAATTTATCCTTTCATTTTAGTCTTAGAAGAAGTGGACATAGGAGAGACTCCTTTTCTCCAGTATCTACGGTTTGTTATCTGACATGCCCTTGGAAGCATTAAAGGCAATGCACCATGCCAGGCTGTATGACGTTCTGAATATAATTTAACACAATGTCTCTATACACTTGTCTCTCTTTTTTTAGCCATGTCCAGTTAAATTTGTTTTCCACACTGGCCTCAAAGTAAATGAGATTATCACGACAGGAAACAATGTTTTCTGACATTGTCTCAGAGTAAAGAACTAAGAGCTAGCTAGATCTACACAATGGCGGAGTGACAATGAAAGTCTCATAAAAAAAAACTTTTACAGCTGAAGCAAAAGCAAAACTATGACAGAGTAGCCAAAATAATAGCAAGGCAAGGATCGTAATTTTTCTTCATAAAAAAAAGCACACCACACAGCCCCGATGATGAGGGTTAAGAATAAACGATAATAGCTCATGTGATGCTTACATCACCATTTTAGACCCAATTCGGGAAATACAAATGGCAGCTGGAAATGCAACATCTTTTTGCCAGTTCACAATTTTTTAAAGTAAAGATAAAACGTCCAGCTGGCTCCTAAACTACAAGTAAAAAAGCGGAACTTCAAATTTTGAAAATAACCCAGTTAGTAAAAATTCTTACATATATGCACTTCCCACCAACACATCATCCCACAATTGATGAGTTCTCATTCACATAGAACACCCAGAAGCAGCCTCCTACCCTTGTCATGAGATGGTAAAGAAAACAAAGTGAAGCCCACGACAAGTGTCACAATTTGTACAGTCTCGTACCAGTGTCCGGATCCTGCACATGGGCCGGGGCCTTCCTGCTGTGATTCACAGTCTTTTCCATCTCATGCAACAAATAGACAGAAGCAGGCAGACCAGAACTCTTGAAGGAGGATAAAACTGCATGGCATTTCTGCAGTGGGAACCTGTGAAAGTAAATCCTATTGTTAAAAAGTTTTTCATTTTAAAAAAAGGGCTGGAAAAAGCAGAAGGTTGTACTGTAACTAATCTACTATATATTTGGCAACTTGGAAACACATGTGTCACTTTTTCCATAAAACTACGAGAGCTACGAAGTTGAAAGTTGGCAAATACCTGCAAAAGGATAGATAGGTACCCATGACAGAGCCTCATTTTTTATTTATTCATTTCCAGAATTTATAAAAATATATTTGACAAAAAGTTCCCTTCCTTCTTTGGCCTTTGTGATTATTCCACTGAGAAACGAAACAAATCTGCACAGCTGTCCTCCACAGCGGAAATGCCGTAAAAGATATTTCGCGAGGCGCATTTTGATTTGAGAGTATAGATCTAGATCTAGACCTCATTTTTTGCATCTCTCAAGATATATTTCTGAATTCCAGTAGAAAGTAAATATAGTAGGCAAATGACTTTCAGTTGATGTTAATACACTGATCATTCCTTTCATTGAAAGGGGGCCCAGCTAAGATAAGATAAGATAAGATACATCTTTATTGTCCAGATCCTGGCACATTGGTTTGGTGTTTCACCACGTGTACACACACACACACATACACACACACACATACACACACGCGCACACACAAGTAGGCTTACAATCACATGCATAATATAAATGAGCAGCAATATAAACAATAATAAGTGAAGATATTCGTGACTGAAGGAGGTGGCGTGGCCTGGTTTCAGAGGTAAAATTAGAGAGAAAATGGCCGCCAAAGTTGAGTTATTTCCAGAGCTTAACTCACTGACTACGGATCCTGTCACAGGTACTGGGCGGGCGGTCGGTTCGTAGTACGGATCCCGTACCCCCGATGGGATGGACTTTGTGGTTTTGTTCTGTATCTTAGGCTCCCGGACTCCAGTGCTAGTTTTGCCTCTTGTTTCGTTTCGTGCCAAGTTTGGCGGAAGTTTCGTGATAACTTTTTAAGCAATTGAAGGTGAAGGACAGTCACCTCATCTGGGGTTGACCTGACCGGAACTCGGGCTATGTTTTTCCTATACAAATGATAGTAATCCGACAGTTGCGTCGAAGTAACGGTCGCATGAACAAGAATCACATAATTTCGCAGTTTTCGATACTTCTGTACGTTATGCAAGTTCTAGTGACTCAGGATATGATGTGTCTGATAGCTAGGACCCTGGATATGTACCCGAACACGGCCCGAGTCGTAGTCTTAGGGCTAGATCTAGCACTAGTACTGTTGTTGTTGTTCGCACGACGAAATCACAACTTCGTGCCGTGCATCTGTCTCATGTAATTTAGTGTATGGGTCCTGAATAAACGCACAGACCAGCTTTTATATTTTCACCAAACACTCACACATGGATATAAATCAAAACAGAACACTTTGAACTTTTATTTTTGTTGTTGTTGTGAATTTCATTCTATCTGTCATGTCTCTGGAAATTTTTTGAAAAATCAAATTCAGTCCAATTTTGAAACAATCCTAAGAATTGAAGTATTAGACCTAGAGAATTAAAATTTTTAGCAATAGATTAAGTTTGAAAGTTACTTTCTCTGTGTCAAAAAATAATTACAATAGGGTAATTCTGAGAGTTGAGGTGGGGATTTGAAATACCCCCCAAAATGCCAGTACTCAGCGCTAGTGATTTGTGAAAGGGGCCAGTAGTCAGTGAGGTAAGAGCCCATGGAGATTGAAAATGTACATCTCTTATGCCCTAAATCAAAGTTTTTCAGCACAATACACACAGAAATGTGTTCTTTAAAGGGCATGAAAGGTGTTGAGCCAAAAAACAAAAACTTCTATAAAAATTCCCAAACCAGCAGAGAAATTAAATGCCAGTTTCTTCACTTCACTTTGACTATTTTGACGAGTGTCTGATTTCACCACGCTGCATCACATATATTTTTTCTCGAGTTAGAGTAAATTGCTCCATAGGCAGATTCCCTTTCAAGAATGGATACTCGATACAAAGCTTTTTAAAATTTCGGACGAGACCACACTCTGTGCAATGTCATCAATACAATGATGATCCCATTTTTGGAATGTCTACAGGAGGCTGTTAATGCAAATTTCTATCTTTGCTCTTAGAATTCCAACTTTCCCATTAGGAAGTTTGAAAAAAAAACAAAAAAACAAAGCAATAGTAAATCAGTGAGTCTTACCTGTCTAACTGAGTGATATTGTTCAAAATGTCTTTCCTTGGAATACCAGCACTAAGGCACATTTGGATTTTGTAGGCCAACTGCCGAGGGTAGACTGTCTTCTTGTGTCCCCAGCAAGCCTGAAGAAAGAGTAGGAAACGGGTACAGAGGGACAGGGAAACAGCCATATCCAGAAGGCTCTTTATCACCAACACTGACAAGTGTGTTGTTTTCAGTGTACTTTAAGTAAGGATTAAATAAGAATTGTGTTCAATGGGGCCAACCAGATTAGGCCCACTCTTCCTTGACTAATAACAGTGAAAATAAATATCTTTCATAAATGCAATGTGCATCTACGGAACTTCTGAAGTTTTTCGTCAACTTCCAAACAAGACATTTGGGACTAAAGTAGCGAAATCCTGAGAAAGATCCAAAGTCATCCACAAACTTTGGTATGAGAAATGAAAATCTTACCACTTGAACCAACATAGTAACAAGCTTTCGGCCAAGGTATAAAGCCCTACTCGAGGGAAATAAGTTTACTTCTGTGCTACATTTTACTTCATCACTTAATCGTAGACCTGCATCAAGGAGTTTTTCCCCAATGCCACTTAGAACTTTTGTCACTAGCCTAGATAATGCTAATAACACAGAGAACTGAATTCATAGCACAGAAATCTTTGTATAAGCTCATTCTATGTAAGAGCATCATCATCATCATCATCATCCAGTGCCAGATCTGCGACAGACATCGGCGATCATGGTTTTCCATTCATTCCTTTGCTCGGATGCTCTCAAAAAAGCTACGTTTCCCTGATCTTTCCCTGTTACCCATTTGTTTAGGTTCCCTAAGTATGTTGTTCTGGGCCTGCCCCTGCCTCGCTTGCCCTCAATTTTGCCAGTGAGAGCTAGATGTTCAAGACCCTTATGTCTATTCAGGTGTCCCAAAAACTGCATTTCTCGTTTCCTGATTGTTTTTAACATTGAGCGTCCCACGTGGGCTTCATCAAGCACTACCTCATTTGATTTCTTTTCCTTTCACGATACTCTTAGCAGTCTCCTAAGAAACCATATTTCTGTTGCCTCTATTTTATTTTCACTGTCTTTAGAGATTGTCCAGCATTAACAGCCATATAGAAGGGTTGACCAAACATAGCATTTCAGGACTTTCATTTTGATGTTCATTGAGATGTTTCTATTTTTCAGGATTGAGCTCATTTTTATTGAAACTAGACTTAGCCATTGCAGTTCTCCTTTTTATTTTTGTGGAAGATTTGGTATCAGATGTTTTCATATATCCTAGATATTTAAACTGTTGGGCTTGTTTGATCTTTTCACCTTTGCTAATGAGATTACAACTAGGATTTGCTGCTTTTTTGGATATTACCATGCATTCTGTTTTCTTTATATTCAACAATAATCCTTTATGTTCACTTTCTTTTACAACAGTATCTAGAAGCATTTGAAGGTCCTTTTCGGAGCCTGCTATTAAAACCGTGTCATCTGCATACCTGATGTTATTAATATTTTCTCCATTTACTTTGAGGCCTGGACATTCTTCTATTTTCTAAGGATTGTTTCACTGTACATGTAAAAGAGGTCTGGTGACATAACACATCCTTGCCTCACTCCTCGCCTAATCTGCTTATATTCACTGTATTCTCCATTAATTCATACAGCAGCGTTTAGGTCCCAGAACAAATTTCTGATAATTCTTAGATCTTTTCCATCTATGTCTAGCTTTTCCAGTATTTTAAATAGCTAATCATGTCTATCATCACTTTATTGAACGTCTTTGAATAATCTATGAAGCATAAATACAGATCTTTCTGTGCTTCAATACATCTTTCCATTAACATTTGTAAGGTGAATATAGCATTTCTGGTGCCCTTGTCAGGAACAAAGCCGAATTGTGTTTTTGATATCTCTGGTCTTACACTTCTTCTCAATCTTCCCATTATTACTCGCAACAATATTTTTGTAAAATGACTCATAAGGCTAATTGTTCTATGAATATCACACTCAGTGGCACCTGGTAAAGGTATAAAAACTGACTTCATCATATCTTCTGGGATCTCACCGCTGTCATAAATAGCATTTAGGAGCTTTGTTGTTCTTTCAGTGCCTAGTTCTTCGAGCGCGACAATCACTTCAACAGGAATATTATCTGGCCCTGTGGCTTTTCCTAGTTTCATTTACCTAATGGCAGCTTGTACTTCTGCTTTCAGTATTGGTGGTCCATTTATTTCATTCTTTATTACCGGTTTTTCTCGTGTCTATTATCTTTGAAAAGTTCTTTTATGTATTCTGACCATCTGTTTAAGACATCCCCGTTGTCCATTAAAATATCCCCTCCCTTTGATCTTATGCATCCTGTATCTGAGCATCCTTTTATCCCACTTACTTCTTTGATTTTTGAATGCATGTATTTACTGTCTTTGTTTTGGTTTTTCTCTATTTGTTGACACTGATCATTTATCCATGTTTCTTTGCTTCGTTGCATTTTTTCTTTATTTCCCTGTTTAAGATGTTGTACTTTTCCACATTTGATTTTGCCTTTCTTCTCTCTTCCATTAGTTTTAATATGTCCTGGGTCATCCATTTTTTATTAGCTTTTTTAGCTTTCGGGGGGATATTTTCTTCCACAGCTTCCATTATTGAGTCTTTCATTTTCCTCCACAGTTTTTCCGATTTAGTAATGTTTTCCAAAGCTTGAAATTTATTTCTTACATCTATGGAGAAACCTTCTTTCATTTCTTGATTTGTCTTTAAAAGACTTAGGTCAAATTTAGGTTCATACTTTGACTTTTTGAGTTTCTTTAGTCGTATCCGCATTTTACACATGACTGGTACATGATCACTATCACAGTCTGCTCCTGGCATTGATTTAGATGATTTTATTGTGTTTCTAAAACATTTCTGAATAAGTATGAAGTCTGTTTGATTTCTACTTCTATCACCAGGACTCTTCCAAGTGCATAGGTTTTCATAATACGTAAAAAAAATTTCTCAGTACAATTTCCTTTTGCAACATGCATGCTTCATTCTATAAAAACCAGATTAAAAAAGCAAGACAAGTGGAAAAATTCAAAGAGATATAGGCCAATATGTGAAACATATTGAAAAGTAAACAACGAAAGATCAAAGGCCACAAATCTGAGTTCCACACATTATCTCAAATCATTGTTCACAGGGCAGGTGTAACATTTCAGACCGTGGCATTTTCACATCACCACTGGTTGTCCCTGCCCACGACACTTCACGGACACTGACCTGAAACTCCACCATAGAGATCCCCAACAGACGGGCAGCTTCCTTTCTCTCAGGGCCCATACCCATCAGCTCCTTGAACTTTGACATGGTGGGAGCCAAGAATAACTCCAGAGGGAACTGCCCCGAGCGGTTGTGATACGTCTCTCGATACAGTTTTACCTGGGCGTGACGAGAGGATACAAAACTTTGCTTTTCGTTTCAGGAAAGAGAAACATATCAACACGATAATGATTATAAGGTTGAAAAGAAAGAGCAAGACAAATAGACAGAAAAATGCAGAGGGAGAATAAAGAAAAAAGCTCGTACGTGTGCATCCTTCGCCCACGTGCCCACACAAAATGTCAGCCACTTAGAAATGTAACTTTGTAGAACTGCTAAATAACGAGGAATGAAGAGGACCAACAATTCACAACTTGGAAGGTGAAAGACATTCTATAAAATGAAAAGGAAAAGATCCTTTTTATAAAAATAGTCCCAAAGGCCACAGTGGCAAAGGTTGTAAGTTGCAAACACACAGACCTTCCAGTATCAAATCAAAGGAGTTTAACTCTTTGAATCCGGTTCGCCATTTAAGTGGTACTTTTGGTCCCGCATTTCACCAACTTGCTACTTAAGTTGCGTCTTGGCAGAACAGATTTGATCAACTCCAAAATCTGCCAGTGACCCTGTGTCACATTTACTACTTATCTTCACCCATATTGCGACCCTTTGTCCAATTACGAATACAGTCCAACTTGCCCCGACAGCCACCTCTATAAGACGGCCACCTGTTCAAACGGCCACTTTCCATTTCCCCCCTTGCGTTTTTTCTATATAATTTAATTGTATAAAACGGGCACCTGACCAAGGCGGCCACCATCTTTTAACACACACACAACCCCTATCACACCCAACAAAAACACCTGTCTTAGACGGCCACCTTAGTTATTCCTTTACGTTTTGTCATAAAGTGTGCATTGGCCCCTGGGCAAGCCGTCATAATCCAATCACCTGTCGTTGTTGTTAGGTAGTCCCTCCAACCGATCATGTTGTGCAGGCCCCTCCCACTGTTGACCAATAGGTACCAAAGTTCAGCTGCTGGTGAGGTAAGCGTGTGATCCCTCATAACCCATAAGCCCCGCCCAGAACTCATAAACAAATTGAAAGTGAGATGAGAGGTCACTCTTTACACAGTCTGTAACAAAACGTCAACATGAACTTGTGACAGAAGCGTCGCTCGTTCTCCGAGTGGTGGCGACCCATGCGTTTGTGTTACCCCAGCACCCAGTCCTCCTTGTCTGACATGTTTCGTTTTATTATAACCCTTGAACAAAATCAGCAACAATATAAAAATAACAAACAAAATACAAACCAACGGCAACAAAAACAACAGCAATGCGGCTACTTTCGATTGGGACCTCAGATGGGAATGGTTTGTTTTCTTCATCTTGATCAGTCCTGTCTAAGACGGCCACCTGTTTTATATGGCCACTTTTCTCCTTCACAATGGGTGGTCGTCTTACACAGGTTTGACTGTAGTTTGAGTGCTAATACAAACAAATCCATAAATATTTGACTGAATTACAGCCGTTTTAAAGTAACACCTTTCATGGCAGGGGTGTGTAAGATTGTGGAATCTCCTGTATACTGAAAGAGTAATTTAAGCCTTCTTTCCAGCCCAAGGAATCAAAATATTTTGCTTTGCAAATGAGTTATTGTGTGTCTAGTAAGAAATTAACTATCTATTAAAACAGAGGAAAATACAAATCACACACAAAAGGAAATGTAAAAAGAAAAATATGACAATACTGAAATAGACAGCATGGAACAAAAACAGCAGAATCTGAATTGTCTCCAAGACGGAAAGAAAAGAACTGAAAACAGAAAAGAGCCAAACCAAAAGTCCACAACATAGAATAAAATATATAGTGCGATAATATCTATCCAGATTCCAGTAAGTGGGGTTTTTTTAAAGTATGAGAGAGGGATTTACAGAGCCAGAGACAAGAAGTATCAAACGAAAGCAAGGACTCACTTTGCTATTGGCAAGATGCAAAATCAGCAAATTCGACAAAATGTCTTCACCAGTAGCGCCAAGAGACCTCAACATTTTTGCCTGTTTAGGAAATGAGAGGAAACAGTAAAGTAATATTACGGATAAATATGAGAATTTCACAAAACAAACATTCACACGACTAGACAACAATTATGAACAATTATAAGTTAACATCATCATCACTGCCTTTCTCGCCCTGCACCAGGGTACAGGCCACGGACAAACACCTTCCACCTTTCTCTATCCTGGGCTAGCCTCTTGATGTTATTCCATGTCTTCCCACTTTTGAGTTTACATTCATTCAAACAAATACAGTAGAACCTGCTCTAATGACAATCTGCCCAATACAATCACCTGCACAAATGATCATTTCCCACTTCTTCCCTTGCTGTTTTTCAATAAGTATTACAATGACCTGCCCAAGAGGACCACCTATCTTAGATGACCACTTTTTCTCCTCAACAATTTGTGGTCATCTTGGATGGGTTCAAGCTTACCATAAAACTATAATACACACAGGGATCAATCACAAAGTGGAGTGAGCGTCATTAGAACTTGTTCTGTATAGGCAAAATCTATCGACATGTGGTCTGTCATTGTCAAGTCAAGCGGAATGAACGGTCAGTTACAAAAAAAAACTTAGACTACATGTAATATATTTATTAAAAGATTTTTTTTTTATCATGGTGTTTTACATCCCCATCGATAATTTAATTTTTCTTTTCGTAAGAGTTTTACAGTTGAAACACAATACGGTCATATTAGTGCCAAAGACTAGAGGTGTTACAAGGGAGTAACAAACACAAAAAAGAAGGAGGGGAAACAAAGACGACAGATGATTCATAGGAAAGAAGGTGCAAACCACACCAGCTCCAACCACCCATAATTAATTTTAGAGGCAGGTTTGTGAGCCTGCCTATCAGGGCCAACCCAGGCTGTGAGGGATACATCACTGCGGAAAGACAGAGACAGTGATACTCGAGAAACATTTTTTCAACATTGCCACTCAAACCCTGGGGTCTCCTGTGTGCGACAGTGAAGTACCTCACCACTAAACCAAGGACGCAGGTACAAGTAATATAAAACAACCTAAATCAGAGGAATTTAAAATAAGAATACAAAATTTTCCCAACCACAAATGATCAAACCAATAAACAAATCTAATTTTCTCAAATCTGGATTTCTTTAAAATCAAAGAAGGTGATAAAAGAATATCAAACAAAATCCCAATGACACTGAAGTGGAACACAACCTTCTTGCGAATCTGAACAATATCATCAAACATATCCAGTTCTCCACATCGGTCTAGCAGCCATCTGGGGTCCAGGTCAGGTTTCTCTAACTGTTCACACAGGTCAAAGTAGATTTGCATGGTCTGTAGAGCTGACAGTCGAGTTAGGCGGTTCTTCAACTTGGTCACACCAGGAGGACACACTGAAGACAGCAGCAAGACAAAAAAGAGAAGCATTTGACCATCAATTTAGTTTTGATTAGGAATACACATAACAGTCCAGTCGGTCAGGAACTCAACTTACTAACTAGTACAAATTTAAGTCTTTTTTTTTTTTTTAAATAGTAGAGGGTTTTACGGCGCTCGCAACTGCATAAAGTCATATGAGCGCAAAGGGGTAGGTGTCAACAGAGAAGTCTTTACAGGGAATCAGACTTAGACTGCTCACCTCTCTAGCTTCAACAACACAAGGTCTGCTTCGACTATCAAGACACCCCAAAATAGGTCACAAGGGAGTGACAAACAAACAAAAGAAGTAGAGGAAAATGACAATAGTAAGGATCAGGAAAGAAAAAGCAGCAGTTCCCTGTTGTAGATCAGGCACAGTTATGAGCGTGACATGAATCAGCCCATTTACAATTCTGCTATGCTTGAACGAGATACGTCCCCCCTTTGGGAATGGCCTAAAGACACTACAGTCAGTGGCATTGCCCCGGGGGGTAGTTTAAGTCTTGAATTTGGCTTTGGACATAACTTGGGTAAGGCATGACTATATACACTTCCTGGAATAACTTACTTCCATGACAGGGCACCCTGAAGATCGGCAGATAGCTCCTGTTTCTAAACAGCCTACAGGGTGTCTTGAGAAGTGACAGACTTCTAAACATGAATTTGTTAAATTAAAAACCAAACATATTACATTAAGTACTGCAAAAGGTTTTTTGAATACTGTTACCCTTTTGTTACAAAGGGTATTTATAGGCAAATGTTTCATACCAAAGTTAACAATTTAAAACTAAACGCCTGAAAATCCAGATGAACAGTTGACAATTTGAGAAAGGTTTGGTCCGCAGATAGGTCTTCAGTGAAATTTGGGCTTGGCTGCTACAATTACAAGGGTGCTATATATTATAAATGGAACCCCCTTCTAGACATAAATAAACTAACAGCGGAAGAAGGGCAGTACCTTTATAAGTACAACTTTTTAAAAGACACCAGCAGGAAGACAATGAAAACCTCATGCACTATACCCATAATAATGTAAACACAATATATGTAACCCACCACAAGCACTATGAGAAAGACAAAAATTACTTAAAAAGCAACTCACCCCCAACTTCTCTCTCCTGTTTTATTTCTTCGAACATACGCTGAATGAGAAACAGGCTGAACACTACCAGGACACCTTCCTCCTTCAGCCTCTGAACACAGTCAATGACATCGTTATTGCTCATGTGTTGTATGTCCGGATAGTACACTAGCTCATCACACGGGACGCCAACGGAAGTGAGGAATGCCTTTGAACTTTCAAATTCCGGGGTGACCACTTGCTCAGTGGTGCCCTTCCCTATAAAAGGGTAGCGAGAGTTCACATCAGTGTCTTTCTTTTTTTTCATCAAAATCTGTCGGCTTAGCTTTTTGGGGCTCAATGTGCTCAAGGGTGGGGAAATTGCAGCAGATTTAGCTCTCTGTTTCTTCACTGTAGATGACGGTTTCGTCAAAGTGTTTAAAATTGTCTCAACATCCTTGTCATATTGCTGCAAAAAAATTTCATTATAACCTAATAGTTTATTTCGCATTCTGGTTAGCCTTTTATTTACTCTTGTGTCATCCACAAGTCGAGTCAGCTCTTCTTCTGGTGCAAGTCTAAGGCGAGAGGAGGAAGCCTCTTTTTCTACAAGGCTGCTGTTGGTACACACTACTAAAGAATCCTGAGATTTCAAAGGTGTAGCTTGTGCAGGCTGAGGATGAGTATGAATCATAGAAATGTCAGGTGAATCTAGAACTGCGTCATTATGAGACGAAGCTTCAAATGTGCTGTGGCCAGCAGCAGAGGTGTTGATGGACATATGGTGAACCGTGTGCGTGGAGGCCTCATTTCCTTTACGAACTGACTCTGCACCTTCTGATGCATCCTGAAATTGTAATCCAGAATGAGTGTCATCCGAAGGCTTGAGCAGCTTCCTGAAGAAGCCTCCAACCTTACCAAAAACTTGCAACTGACTGTGAGACGCAGATAGGTGCCTTGTGGTCAAATTCACATAATTAAACATCCCTCGACAACATCTCGTCACAGACGTCAGGCTTCTGCTTCTCAAAAAGAAAACAGAATAACAACGGTAGCATATTGATTGTTGATACACCAAATGAAAAGAGTCTCTCATCCACAGGTGACAGCTCAGTTTTCTTTTACCAATCTTGAGGACGTTCATCTTGGCCAATTCATCTGACAATCTGTAGATACACACACAAAAAAGTAGAAATATTTACTGCATCAGCAATAACAACCTAATGATGGTAGAAAATCACAAACACATGAAGATGACAAATTTATCATACAGCCATCCAAAATATCCAGGACATAAAAAAACAACTAAAATTTCCAAAACAACAGAGTTAATCAGTGTGACAAAAGATTTGCCAGCAATTTACAAAAGAAAAGAACAGTTACAATTTCTTCAAACTAACAAGAGAGACAGTTTATTAAGTTTTACAAATAATTCTTTGACCCAAAAAAACTAATACAACAGTGGAAAAATAATAAACGGTTTCAATTTACTGGGTTTTTTGGGTCAAAGATTTTGTTGTTGTTGTTGTCAACAATGAATGTAGGCATCATTAATAAAGAAAACTAGAACCAAAATAAAACAAAAGTGAGAGCAGCAAAAGACCATAATAAGGGAAAGACAGTTCTTATGATAATAATTATAAAAATAAATAATATCAATAATAATAATAATAACAATAATAATAATAATTCATATATGCATTATATTTTAGTAATAAAGATCAACTTATATATATATATATATATATATATATATATATATATATATATATATATATATATATATATATATATATATATATAGCGCCCACTGCCTGTCCCTGGTGGCTCTTGGCACTTTCAATAAAATAATATCTAAATCAACACTTCATGCATACACTGGCCCATTCAACGTACAACAATTCTTTCAAATAAGGACACAAGGGAAAAACCAGTCATGTCAGGTTTTGGCAATTCCGAGATAATTGAGAAACAAACTTTAAAGACTTATAACAACTCATCTTCTGCTAAAATGAACTCTCTGCTGTTTACATTGACTTTAAATATGACCATTTGAGTAGAAAATGACAAACTTTCACAGTCCTCATGTTATGGATGTTTTAGTGACAGCAAAATAGAAAAATTTTGTAGCAATTGACATCCCTAGTTTTTCCCTTGTCAGCTGTTGGCAAAGTCTCCATCTTATAGGAAATCAATGGATTATACAAAAAAGAAAATAGCACACACCATTTTGCAATATTTACTATAAATATTTTTATTTTATTTAGTATACATCTTTGAAAGATGACTCTGAGTCATCAAACTCTTGAGCAGCACTCGGCCCTTCAGCACGGGGCAATTCAGAGAAAAGCAACCGTGCCAGAACACTTTTAGGTCCTTCAGGTCTGCATATTTGGCAGCTTTGATGGTCAGCGAGCTCCTTTATTAAAGGAGTTTCAAGGGCCGGAGTCTTGTAGCATGCATCTTTCCCACCGACTTCAAAATGACTGCAGGGTGAAACGGACCATTCCAGCTCTCTCTATACTATACTGCATTAGCTGTGGATGGGCCTGAGGGAGATGCAGTCTAGCCGTACTTACATCTAGGTTTGGTCCTATTGACTCAAACCTGTTAAGTACACAGGTCTCATTAGATTATTCAGGTTTAAAATACATGCATGTCAGTAAGGCACCTTTTGGTTTCGTCTGAAATACAAATACTTTAGGCATTGCAAACTAAAATTTCATTTACAATTCAGCCATCATTATTAAGTACGCTAGCCTGCCAGTCTATATATATATCCATACTAATTTTAGGAAATTAGTAGAAACGCTGTTGAGTACACAGGTCTCATTAGTAATTTATTCAGGTTTAAAATACATGCACTGTCAGTAAGGCACCTGGTTTCGTCTCAAATACAAATACTTTAGGTACTGCAAACTAAAAATTTATTAAACAATTCAGTAGGCATATTTTTTTCTGTTTGTCAGTCTAGCCATCATATAATAAGTACGGCTAGCCTCTTCTTTCCAGTACGTTAATAACATTTTGGAATTCTGGTAGTGACTAGTGACACAAACCGCTCATTTCATACGAATGTCAACAAGCTCATTCATTGAGACACTGGCATTGGCAGGTTTGAGCTTCCTCATTTTCCGGTTCACTGAGTCTATTGAATTCAATCTTTGAACTTTTCCAGTACGATATAAATTAAAAAGAGAGCATTCAAGCACCACATACACGCAGAAAACTGACAATCAGCAGCATTCTAGGCTCAGAGCTCTCTAGCATCTGCGTTTGTCGCGGCCGCGATTTTTGGCATTTTTTGGTCCGCGATTTTTGCATTTTTCAAACGAAGTGACTATTTTTCCGAACGTTCGGAGAAATAGTGCCGATCTTTATTTCTCCTAACGGTTTCCGGCTTCCGGTCTCGTGATTTTTTGCCTATTTATTGCGAGAGTTCGGTGCAAACTTTCATTCCACCTCTGGTCTGGGAAGGAACACCGCATGGCAAGCCCGCCTACATACAACCTTCAGTAACACCCACCGCACACGCGTCACCATCATGCACATGGACACACACAAACTAAACATGATCAGTGAGCAACTTTTGAACGTATGACGAGCTGAGCTGTGGATAGAGAGACAATGTGAGTGAAAGAGCGGGTGAAAGGAAGAATGTACGAGTGTATCCACAGGCGACACGACGACACCGACCCCCCTGGCCTGGTCCACAGCTCTCGAACGGAAGGAATGTGGCTAAGGCAGTGTTTTGACTATATTATTGTCCATGGTTCGCAGGGTGCAAGGGAATGAGTGAGATTTTCTTTGTGTGTGCCTGGAGGGAGGGGGTGGGGTGTGAAAGTCATGCGGACGGGGATGAGCCGCGGGAGAGAACATGGGAATTGAATGAATGAGTGAAACTGAAAGAGAGGAACGACTCATGAGCCCTGGAGTGAATGGATCCTGTGTTTCTATTTTTGTATACTTTGAACTGTTACTGAATAAAGGCTGAAATAAAGCCCGAAAAACACACACATACTCCTCACTCTCCACTTACACACTTACTACCACACACTCACACACGCACATGCACACACACACACACACACACACACACACACAGGAGCGAATTTTTGGGTCTATGTCTATTTCAATGTTCATGACCTTGCCTAGAGATTTTTAGATGAGTGCAAAAACGTGAAAAAGAAAGGTTTCACAACCGAATGAAATCAAAATTAGTCGAACAGCCCATAAACAACCACAAAAATTAACAAACAAGGGTGTGTGTCCACCTGTCCGCAGAAGATTGGCTGTTTTAACCCTAAATGTGCGTAAATTTTTTTTAAAGTACAGGAATTACATGTAAATTATGGAATCACACACATTAAGGGGCCTGCCAGTGTCAGTACATGTAATCGGTTTTGGTGGAATGTACGCTCTAACATAACACATTTAAATCTATATTTAGAATCTAATGAAGGTAGGAACATCAAATTAAATGACGTTAAACTATGCAACATCCCCCCCCCCTTTTCCCCAACAAAAAAAGTGATAGAAAAACAACACATCAGAACAATAACAAGAAGAAAAATTAAACACTAACAAAATAAAACACCACAAAGAGTCAAAGAGGGAAAAATAAAAGTAACTGTAACGTATTCAACAAATCAACGTGGTGACAACAAGTGAGAAAGAGACTAAGTGAAGCTAAGTGAAGTTTCTTTCGAAAGTACAGAGGTTCGGTTTCTTTTTTTTTTTTTCTTTTTTTTTTTAAATTTGACTTTTATTCCCCGACCACAAAAAGCCAAAAAATCGAGCCACGATTGATTGGTCGCGGCCGCAACAAACGCAGAAGCTAGTTCTATGTGTCGTTATAAATAATCCTCCGAAGATCTAGATCTAGACAGCACACGAGTGAACACAACACATTAAGTTTAAGAGCAGCACCCTTCATAGGCAACATGTCATATCTGTAGCGAAAAACTGTTTGGAACTGTAGCATTTCTTTATATAAATATTTACTGCGGACATTTTTTGGACCGATTGAACCATATTGTATACGAACAATCTTTGGTGGGCCTATACTCTATATAATATCCGAAATTTGCGGGAAAGGATGTGATTTCAGAGTGTTCGTAGAAATAGTGCCCAGCCTTATTTTCCCGAACGTTCGGAGAAATAGTGCCCAGCTTTATTTTCCCGAACGTTCGGAGAAATAGTGCCTAGCTTTATTTTCCCGAACGTTCGGAGAAATAGTGCCGGCCTTTTTCAAAAAAGACAAAATAACAAAGCTACTTCATAACATATTAGACATGTATTTCGATAGTTGATAATTTTAACCGAATACTGACACTGATCTCTACAGTACTGTCTGGGCATCTCGCCGTGTGGACAAGTCGGCCGCCCGCCTAGGGGAGTGTTGTTCCAACTCGTTTTAAAGCCAATCTTGATTGGATATTTTGTTAATTTATAAACCAATGTAATCTTTGTTAAGCAATGCTAACAATCTCACACGTTTTGTTTCCCTTTCACCCGTTTTCACTGAATGTTTGTTCATTTTTGCGACAGAGCCAGGTAAATTGAAAGAAGGTCCACCATTTTTTCATCGTCTCCATAACTTGAACTATGCATACTCATAAGGTCATAGACATGCGCTGATGCTATATTACTACATCATATGACCTGGGACGGAAGGCAGATGAGTTTTTTGTCTATTCCGGGAACGAGGGGAAGCCCTTCTGGCATGAGGAGGGAGGTGGTGGGGAGGCCGAGCCAACTGGACTAAAAATGTTAAGTGTCCGGGTTGTTCGGCCGAGGCTGGCCGAGTTTAGTAGACTCAGTTCGCGCACATCGGCTACGTGCACAATACGTTTTTAAAATATATTTTCAAGCTTAGCCTACCCATTTTCTATTCTTTAGGCCTATTGTTTATTTTTACTATTTCATTTATTGTGTACATTAATGATTTTTGTTGCCAGTGAATTCGATTAAATGGATTATTATATCAAATTTGGTGATATTCATGGATTGTTACAATTTTATTATATCTTAGGCCTGTTCTATTTTTCGGAACGTTCAGGAAAATAAACTTGAACTCTATTTCTCCGAACGGTTTCCGTTCTCGAGATTAAACTGTTGATAATTTACGAATGGAGTGGCCCGTGCGCGCGCGTGTGTCTGTACGTGTGTGTGTGTGTGTGTGTGTGTGTGTGTGTGTGTGTGTGTAAGTGAGCGTGCGTGCGTGCGTGCGTGCGTGCGTGCGTGCGTGAATAAGGTGTGAACGAGGCGTGTGGGGGCGGGGCGTGGACAGATTTTTTTTGTTTTTGTTTAGGCGACATTATGAAGGATTTTAGCTTAAATTTTGCTTTAGGGTTGACTAAATGCAAAATAGGTTACTGCCCAGGTCGAGCAGTCTTGTTTTCTCGCAGTACCTTTTGAAGGCGTTTTCAAATGAGGTATAGTTCAGGAACGTTGCCCCAACCACAACTGAAGTATCTGAATATTATAGTCAGACATTCAAAAATCTCTAGCTCTAGAAATTGAATTCGATGCAAAAAATGCTACTTCCCAGTCCTCGCAGAATGGCAGTATGAAAGATGATGCCTAAATCTCGAAAATCTGTTTCTTTTTATTTGACAGAAGGGTGTAAAATGGATTTCATAATTTGAATGAGTGGTTTTGAGGGTGATTGGGGTGAGACTGAGATGAATGAATCATCATCAATGCCTTTCACCCCTGGCAGGGTACCCATAGGCCACATACAACCTCCTTCTATTCATCTCTGTCCTGGGCCATCCTTCCAAGCTCGTTCCAAGTGAGCTTCATCTAATGTCCCTTTCCACACGCATCTCCTCCATGTTCACGTGGCCTACCCCTGCCTCGTGCTCCCTGTGGGTTCCACTGCAGTGACTGTCTTGTGATGTTTCCGTTGGGCTTTCTTAACTAAGGTGTGTCCCATCCATCGCCACTTTCTTAGTCCTATTTCTACTATATGCCTCTGTAGTTGTTACAGTTGCGGAGGTCTCCTTTCATTTACAGCTTGATTAGGTGGCCTTCCTTCCAGTCTGATGGTATTTCCTCCTTTTGCCAAACCTTTTCAAATACAGCACAGAGAAATTCCCCTAATGTATCTTTAGCTGCCTTAAGGGCCTCTGGTGGTGTATGGTCGGGACCATCTGCCTTGATGTTATAGCTGCCGCATTTTCCTCTCTCGAAGGTGGTTCCATAACTATTGTGAGGTCATTTCTGGCTGGAAGAATTTCTGGTTGGTTTTCTGGAGGTGGTCTGTTCAAGAGTTGATCACAGTGTTCTCTCCCTCGGTTAAGTTGCCGCTTTGGGTTAAAGATAGTCTTTCCCTCCTTGTCTTTCACTGGTTGAGTGGACTTGCTGAACCTTCCTGAAAGAGTTTTTGTTGTCTGGTGTACAGTGTCCGTCTGTTGCTGCTTTCTCTGCCTTTTCGGCCAGGCTATTAAGGTAGGTATTCTTGTCCTTCTTGATGGAACTCTTTACCTCCCAAACGCCCATTGTCATGGAAATTGCAAATCATGATTTTTGGGGGAGGGTTGGGGGGGGCTGTGCGAGTCGTCGTGTCTACCTGATCAGCTACACCGTTCTACGGACAATATTGAAATCTGTCGAATCAGATCAAATAGGCCTATAATTGATGAAAGGTGTGATTGGCAAGATCATAATATATTAGTTCTGTTAAAAATATATTAGCTAATAGAAATGTACGGTACTGCAATTTTGCTAAAAGCTAGACCCTTACTTTCAAACAAAGCCTTTAAACTAACTCTTTACCAGACATTACTTTTACCTTATTTAATAAAAACTATTGTTCAACTATGGAACACTTTGGACGAAGATTTAATTTACATTAATAATAATTTGTATAACTTCAAAAAAAGCTTTAGGCTGATCCTCCAAAACTCTACTAGCATAACAATTTTAGAGATATATAAGCGAAGTCATTTCGTCACACATAATTGGGGTGTGACGAGAAGACCGTGTGACGAAATGACTGGTTACCCCAAATATATGGCTTTAACCAGTGAAGAAACAATAACATATATTTTAAAGAAATGGAAGAAGCAAAACTGAGTGAGGAGAGGAAGTAGGAATCTAAAAGAAAGCAACTAATGAAGAAAAGAAGAGAAGAAAAGAAAACAGGCAGAAAAGAAAAGCAGAGATTCAGAGAATGACTGAGGAGAGCAGGTAAAAATAAGGATGAAATGAGAAAAAAGACGGGTAAAGGAAAGGGGAAGGCTGCAAAACGTTTGAGGTTTTAGGTAATTAGTAGCAGTGAGGGTTCCTTGTAACAAAACTATGACAATAAACATCATGATGATTTGAGCATCCTAATTTTACCCCTCCAAGTCAGAATATTTATCCCTTTTCGATGTAAAAGTAGTCTTAAAGGTCTTCATTCACACTAGAGAAATAAACATGGGTGTTATAGAGCATATAATTCTAGGTGGCCGACATTCCCGGACCATTTCCAAATGGGTGGCCGACCTTCCTAGACCCCTCCGGCCGACTCGTCCGGACCCGGCCGAAAATGAGCCAAAAATGCGAAATGAAATTTTGCAGAGTGACCGACAAAATAATAAACAATAGTTCATTCCACTACCACCATCGTGTAGAGGATGCTTTTCTGCTTGGCCACCATAGCGCAGGCAAGTCTTTTGGCTATTCTCACCCGGTGGGCGTTCACCGTTATAGCCTAGGCCAACCAGTGAAGCGTTCACTCTGAACCACAGAATTCTATACTGTGATACAGAATAGAATTCTGTGCTGAGAACAAACGTTCTAGATATCTATTACTACTGTTAGTGTTAGCCTAAAACTAAAAGCGTGCAATTTTGTCTGTGGGCAGTGGAGAGAGAGAGAGAGAGAGAGAGAGGAGTAGCGTGAGAACTTCCGGGCAAAACAAAATGGCGACCCGCGTAGTTCGGCTCGATTCGGAAAGTTAAATAGTCGTTTAGTAACATCTTTGTTGACAACCAAATTAATTTAGTTTTGTTTTTTAACATCATTTTTTTACTTTGTTTTGGTCAATTTGATCGTCCACACCGATAGACAGTATTCAGAAAGAGACAAAGAGAGAGAGAGAGGGGAGGAGTAGATCTTGCGAGAACTTCCGCGCAAAACAAAATGGCGACCCGCGTAGTTTGGCTCGATTCGAAAAGTGAAATAGCCATGGCATCTTTGAAGACGATCAAATTAGCTTACTTTTGTGCTATAATGTAATTTTTTCTTGGCTCATCCACACCGATAGACAGTATTCCAAAACGCCACCTCTATTCTCACCCCGGGTGAGAATAGTGCAGGCGAGTCTTTTGGCTATTCTCACCCGGTGCGCGTTCACCGTTATATAGCCTAGATCTAGGCCAACCAATTTTGCGCTCACCCTAAACCACAGAATTTTACACTGATAACAGAAAAATTGTAGAATTCTGTGCCGTGAACAAACGTTCCATTACTACTGTTAGCCTACTAAAAGCGTACAATTTTGTCTGTGGGCAGTGGAGAGAGAGAGACTTAAGGACGGCTAGACTGTCAGGCTAGCCGTACTTAATATTGATGGCTGAATTGTAAATATGAAATTTTTAGTTTGCAATGCCTAAAATATGTATTTCAGACAAGGAAGTGGCTATTATTCTCAACCGGGGTGAGAATAGAAAAACGATCTACCTCTCACCCCGGGTGAGACTTGCCACCGTAGGCTATTCTCACCCGGTGCGAAACAAGACCTGCTTTTCCTCATTTTGGAATACTCAAATACTGTCTATTGGTGTGGATGATAAAATTGATAAAAGCCAAGAAAAAATTACGTTATAGCACAAAAGTAAGCTAATAATAATTTGATCGTCTTCAAAGATGCTCTATGGCTATTTCACTGTTCAAATCGAGCCGAACTACGCGGGTCGCCATTTTGTTTTGCCCGGAAGTTCTCGCAAGATCTACTCCTCCCCCCTCTCTCTCTCTCTCTGTCTCTTTCTGAATACTGTCTATCGGTGTGGACGATCAAATTGACTAAAACAAAGTTAAAAAATGATGTTAAAACACAAAAGTAAATTAATTTGGTTGTCTACAATAAAGATGCTACGGCTATTTAACTTTTCGAATCAAGCCGAACTACGCGGGTCGCCATTTTGTTTTGACCGGAAGTTCTCGCGCTACTTCTCTCTCTCTCTTTCTCTCTCTCTCTCTCTCTCCACTGCCCACAGACAAAATTGGGCGTGCCCAAAATTGTACGCTTTTAGTAGACTACAGTTGTAATGGAACGTTTGTTCACGGCACAGAATTCTACAATTTTTCTGTTATCACAGTGTAGAATTCTGTGGTTTAGGGTGAACGCAAAATTTGTTGGCCTAGATCTAGGCTATAACGGTGAACGCGCACCGGGTGAGAATAGCCAAAAGACTCGCCTGCACTATTCTCATCCCGGGTGAGAATAGAGGTGGCCTTCAGACAAAACCAAAAGGTGCCTTACTGACTTGCATGTATTTGAACCTGAATAATTACTAGATCTAGATCTATTGAGACCTGTGTACTAAACAGGCTTGAGTCGATAGGGCCAAACCTAGAGAACTTAGAAGTACGGCTACTACTACTAGAATCTAGCTAGACTGGCAGTACGGCTAGCCACTTCGATAGATCTAGATACAGATCTAGATCTAGATCTAGATCTAGATCTAGACCTACAAAACAGCCTCTCGTTTAGTTTCCGAAGTATGGATGTTTTTCCTGTGAGCTAAATCAGTTAAATGCGTGTATGTATTTTGATTCTAAATCTAACCTTCACACCTCCAACCAACGAAAACAGCATGACGAAAATAATGTTTTTGAGTTTTTGTTGTCCGCTGAATGCCGAGAGAGTAAGCTCCCCTCGATAATTGAAATTCCGTACATCTTTGTGAAGTCAGCACAGAATTCTGTAGAATTCTGTGGAAGTCAGATAACCTGCTTGGGTAGGCACACGGGTGGGTATCAAGTATCAATACATTTAATTATTTCTACTGTTACAATTAATCGTGCATTTCGCTTTGAGTTGTGTAGCTTATAACTAAAAGATTAATGGGTCTTTTTACAAAGAGACTTAACAGAGAGTACCAACTTAAAGAACGAGAAAAAATATATGATCAGAGATAGCCTACGTAACTCAAAGTCAAAGTTTGGCTTTAATATCTTTGGTAATGAACCAGTGTTCACAGTTAACCAATGTAGTTTAAGTCAATGAAATTCTAAATGAAGGCCTATTATTTTTGTCGTTTTTAAGATGATTCTATTTTTATTTCACAATTGGCTTTAAATCTTATTGGACTTATTCTTTTCTGTTCCCAGCTGTTTTATATGTTGTGTCCTTGGGAAAGGCACTTAAACGAATTTTCCTCACTTCACCCAGGTGGGAATGGGTACCCGGCTATAGACAGCGAAAGATCTCGTCAGTTTGTTAGTGTTTGAGCGCTTAATCAGCTGCTTGCACTGTGTGCTTCCCGGGAAGCTGAGAATGTTTCGGAGTGTTCTATGGTCTGTTGGGGTAATATTAATAGTGTAAAGCGCATAGCCTGCTGTTGAGCGGGGATGCGCTATACAAATGCTATTTATTATTATTATTATTATATCCGTGTTACATTTGTCCTCGGATATTAGGCTTATACTAGATCTAGATATCTATATTTAATTGTACAGTGTAGCTTGCACCGTAAGGAGAGAAAAGAAGAAAATAATTGTAATAGACCTAATAAGCAACTTGTAATGATCACAAACACCACAACTCATCAAAGCAACGCATTTCCCTTTCCTTAAGTGGTCAGCTTATCTACCCAAATATTATCATGATAATAATGGTACATGTAGGTGACCATTCTTATGGCTTCGCTTGTGACTTTCACGCGCTAGCATTCTTTTCTTTCTTTTCTTTTTTTTTTTTTTTTTTTGGGGGGGGAGGGATTTTCTTCTAAAATTGAGCACGATCACATCGTAGTCTGTTGGGCCAATGTAAAAGGCAGCATTTGAACGTCTTTATTTTCTTACTTCTCAGGCTGCCTCTGCGCACAAACTCTTGCTCATGTTTTTCTCAGAAACATTGCTGCCACGCGTCACGTGGTCATTGTGATCGCTCAAGACCACAGAATTCTACACTTAGTGTAGAATTCTGTGCTCAAGACAGGGTTTCCAACTCATACACGTCAATGGGGAAGCAATCTTAGAGAAGTCGTCGGGGTATATATATCTTTTCATTTTTTTTCGGGGGAGACATCGTCAATTCTGGGTAAAAAATAGTTGTGTGGAGCTGTGTCTTTGGTGTTCTGATCAAAGTGTTCCACCTATAATCCTAGTACATTGTAGGCCTATTTGCGTTTGTCGCGGTAGCGATTTTTAGGCGTTTTTTTATCCACGAATCGCGGCAGCGATTTTTGCATTTTTCCACACAAAAAAGCACACGCAGCCGGGGATTTTTTTTTTAAATGAAAAAAAGGGAAAACAAAAATCTAAAAAAAAAAACAGATTAAAAAAAACAACAACAACCCCGGAACCTCGACTTTTAGAAAGAAAGTTTATTTTCACTTTTGCTTCACTTCGCGTCTTTTTCTCACTTTTTGACACCATGTTAATTTGTTATTTTCATGTGAACAATATAAGTACATAACAATATTTATATTGCTGTTACTCTTTTATTTTTCCCCTCTTTGTTGTGTTTTAATTTGTCGGTGTGCTAGTTTTTATCTTGTTATTGTTCTGATGTGTTGTTGGTTTTTTCTACTTTTGTGTTTATACAGCGAAATGTCTTTTAATGTGATGTAGTCCATACCTTTTTTAAACACATTGTACGTGTTATGTTCCGTCAAAACCGAATACTGATACTGGCAGGCCCCTAGTGCGACTCCATATTATACTATCCTGTACTTTTTCTTGAATTACTTAGGGTTAAAACTGCCAATCTTCGGACAGGTAGACACTTACTAGACACCCGCCCTTGTTTGTTAAATTTTTTAGGTTATTTTTTAGCTGTTCTAATTTTGGTTTCATTCTGTTGTGACGCTTTCTTTTTTTAAAAACATTTTTTCACTCTGTGTGGCTACAAATGATATTCTGGAAGCATAAAGAACTCAAGAAATTCTGGTGTTTTCGATTATCATATTGCTATACGTCGTCACAGAGAGTTGAACGCTTGAAAATTAATGGCAACTTTTCCCTTTTTGGGGGGCAACTTTTGGACGAAAAATGGCAACAAACGCAGGCTAGATAATCTAAGCTAGATTTTCTTGAGGTGGCAGACGATACCGTGGGCTTTTGCCCTCTCTACTCTGTATCTTCAGTGTCTACAACCAAATCCCTCATGGGACTTTCCAGTGTTTTCTCAGACAGGTGAGATAAAAACTTGTTGAGCTTGATAGCGTGTGTTTAGTACAATGTCCAGGATATTCAACTTGATTTACAATGGTTAGTAATACACCGATGCTATACATTATAAATAATACCCACTAAGTTTCGGCTCTGCAGGTTAAATATACAGCGGTGTTAAAAAAAAGAATACCCCAAAATCATCACGCGATTTTAAAAACAAACAAACAACGGAAAACAATATAAATTTCAGCTTGGACACATGTGTCGAAATATACTCCCATGTTTTTATTTCATGTTTTACAAGTGCTCATGTGGCCAACACCTGGAACTTAAGCAGATACCAGAATTCCTCAGGGTGTCTCGGTCCAGCTTGTTGATTGTTGCTGTTATTCGGTATTTCTTGTCAATAATGTCATCGATATTAGCTGGAAGTGGTGGAACATAAACTTTTGTCTTTAACATACCCCCACCAAAACAATTACACACAGTGAGGTCCGGGGATCTATTCTGGCAGGCCAAGCGCAGAGAGCGAGGACTTTAATATGTTAGCCCCTCTCCTATACGCGATCGGGTCGGTTCGGGTCGTGTCGGGTCGATCTGGTAGTCGGGGCTAGCCAAATAGAGGGCGCAAAGCGGCCATCGTGGCAGAAACCGATCGACTTTTTGTTTTCAGGCCTGCGAACGACGCGATCGCGTGTTTTGCAGCCAATCACACTACATGTAATGTCCAAGTTGACACTCAAAATCCGGCGAAACCCTCTTCGAAAAAGTGCAGACTTTGCGAACAGAGTTACCCTATTATTGTGCAAAAAACAATAACAGCGAGACTAACACACTGTGCTATTCCTATTCTTATTCTGGAGAAACGAAATAAAGCTTCAAAACAAAGACTTCAGCACCATCTGAACCAATGTGCGGAGTTCCGTGGACACTTTTTTGGCCGGGTGAACTAGAGCTATCTTCTTATAAACTATCTTTGATACAATTTTAATAGAAAGTTATAGATTTATGTAACTATTGCAACCATGTTTATGGGATTCCAGGCTGCCACAATAGAACAGATGTCAAAGGATGTTTTTCCACAAAAAACAAAAGTTGGATAGTTTGAAAAATTTTATCGATATTGTCTGAGATCGCCGACCCGGGTCTTCCTATAAAGGTTTCTCTACTTTAACTTCCAGGTCGTCAGGTACAATTGCGGCAGAGTTGTAGTGTGCACTGAAAACACCAGAAAACGACCCGACCCGATTCGACCCGACCCGATCCGCTCTCGCTAGTGGGCACCCCCTATTAGGCACGTTTTCATTCAGGAAAGCTCGAACCCTGATATGCCAATGGGATGGTGCTCCATCTTATTGAAAAGTGAAGTCATTCTAATCTGCTTGAAGTATAGTGAATAGTAATAGCCCGTTCAGGGGCAGCTGGTGGTTTGTAGAACTGACCGGCTGTAATTCCCATCGATACCTGGGTGTGTGTCTGTGTGTGTGTGTGTGTGTGTGTGTGTGTGTGTGTGTATGTGTGTGTGTGTGTGTGTGTGTGTTTGAGTGTGTGTGTG